ACACACAACACCCACCACCACCCAACAACACAACACTCCACCACCACCCCACCACCAACAACAAAACCCACCACCACCACAACACTCACCACCACCAACACAACACTCACCACCACCAACAACAACACCCACCACCACCACCAACAACAAAACCCACCACCACCACAACACCCACCACCACCACCAACAACACCCACCACCACCACCAACAACACCACTACTACTAATACACACTTACATTTAACACAATATTTACTACTAACATAATATTTACTACATTACTAACAATAATATTTCACTACCAATAATAATAATACTTACATTACCACTAACAATACTCTTACCACTACCAATAACACTTACTACGCTAACAATAACACTTCACTAATGCCAACAATAACACTTCACTTGTCAAGTGGTCATTGACTGCAATTTTTTTATCAAATTATTCTTTATTAAACTCCACGACTGCAAACATGAGAGTGTAGCTGGTTAGCTATCTCTGAGAAGGAGACTTGTTTGTTCCTATCATCTGCCTTACACTGTGATCCTCCTGTAAAGTCACTTTGTGAAATTGTGCTGTCACCACGCTTGTTTTATTCTTAATTCTTTTCCTGCAAGTTCAATCTTGAATTAGTCTTGTAAACTAACCTAAAGTAATTTTGCCAGACCTTGTCAACTGAGGGTCATCTCTTGAATGAGTAACAGTTGGGTTGTTTGTAATTCTGTCATTAAGTGAGTAGCAATTTCATGGCAACCCAGGGTATATATACCACGTGGGTAAGGGAGACAGAGCGCCTCTTGACGCCTGCCTCTCCCATTTGTCTCCAGGTATGTTCTGTGTTCCCTAGCCATTCAGTTTGGATTCTCAGCCAATTGTAGTGAATATCAGTGTTCATCAGTGTTCATATTTCCAACAGTTGAATTGTCATTCATCTATGTAAGAAGTAATATAACATAAATGTCGTCTGTCGTTTCCAGACAAGAGATTTGTAGCTTGTGTTGTTCATGCTCTCGTCTCTCTGACGCCTGCTCTCCCCATTCTAGTCTCCAGATCCAACTACAGTTCTTGATACTCAACGACTGCCCTGATTCAGATGCTTCGTGACCCCAGACTGCCATGTGTCTGGCTACCACCGATCACAGCCACGGTACAGAGCTCTGGTACTTTACCTTGGGATGTTCTCTTTAGTTATATATTCACAGAGTGTGGTGTATGTAGATGTTTGGGGATACTAGCAAGGAAATACTATCCCATGTTGTAGTGGACCCATGTATTTATGATTTTAGTATTACATGTATGTTGTGAGTGCATCTCATATGCAATTACCAAATGTTTGTGCAAGTTGTAAAATAATTCTTTGTAAATGTATAGCTTAAACTTGTCTACTCTTGGGACTGAGAGCAGTCTTTGTAAATCCTGTAATTTATAGCTTTCACCAATTAAAGACGTGTAGTTACTATTCCACTTTTTTAATCTGTATGAGCCGCCATGTACTATGTGTTTATATTAAACCGTCCTGCTAGGTAATGTAAATGTACTGTGTGTTGCTTGTGTAAGAGTGGTATCTGAGTAATTGTTAAGTAAAACAAGAAAATATGTAAAGAAGAAAAACAGTCTGCACAAGCCCAGTAGTTGTTTGGTATTTATATGTTTCAATATCTCTTTCCCTTGATTCTTACACACAAATTTGTTCTATATATCTTTAGAGCATCTTCCAGTCACAGCAGTCACTCCTTTATTCTATCCATGACTCTGATACAAATCTGTGCCCAGATCCTATCTCACGCCAATCAAGCTTTTTGAGTAAACCAAATTTAAAGGAAAAGAAAAATGTAAACTGGAGTGCCAAGAACCAAGACAAGAGAAGCCAAGCAAGATGGTGAGGTGCTGGAAACGCACACCTCACACACCACCAACCACCCATCCACTGCCAAACAAAAATCCACCACCACCAATCTGACCAACAACACTCCACCACAATCCCCACGACCACCAGCCACTGCCACCTGATCAACCAATCTACACCCACACCCACACTCACCTCATGTCAAGACTTTCCCACTTCTGCACTCTCACCCACGTGGGACTATCATTTCTTACTTATTTCTTTCTTCCTACGACACACACTTCAATTAATACAGATATAAGAAATAATAATTTTTATGTTTTTGACTTTATTAATATTTTTTTTTTTTGCACATTCTGTATGAAAAGAGAGAAGTAAGAGAAACCAATAGTATATGTATACAACTACTTCCAAACTTTATGAGTTGTGCACAAAGATGTTGTGCCTAGTATATGATGGTACAGCCGTCAAGTCCAATACTTAATACATGCCCACATGTTAGCTCACATTGGCTCACTCACACAAGTTTTGTTCAAGACCTACCAGTCATGGTTTTGTTAGTCCACTTGGTTCTGAAACATTACTGCAAGGTATTGTAATTTTAACTCCACTGGCCAGCTGGTTATGCTTTGAATATTGGAATAGTTGTTATAAAACATCCACTATATGTTTTAGTAAATAGTATTTTGCATGGTGTAATTTATCAAATAATTTTAGAAATGATACAGTGTATTTTATACACTAATCTCAGTTGCCTGAATAAGTGTTTGCTTATGTATCCACTAAATGTTTATTACTGTTGTATTCTTTATCTTCATATCAAATATAGTACAGTATGTTATAACGATCCCATTGTAAGATGATTTACTGAGGATTTCATGGGTTATTACTGTACTGTACATGTTGAACATACTGTACTTATATACAACCCAAATTACATTAATTTTATGAGTGAAAATTTCCATTATAAACGTTTCATTAGTGTCCCATTTTATGGAACATGTATAATGAGGACTCTTGTTATATATGTATATTATGGACCCTGCATAGAGTATGTATAATGAGGAACTTGCAGGAGTGATATACACGAGGACCTTACAGTTATGATGGTATAAGAAGTGAACTTTGTTAGCCATGCTGGAAACGGTGCTTTTTGCCATTGA